CCCCCCCCCCCCCCCCACCGTTTATGTTTTTTCGTGGATGAATGAGATCCACTTCGTTTATTTATAATTATTTCGAAAAACGGTACACCTTGGGATTTTTTGAGAATTAAAGCGGGAATCTTGGGATTTTTTAGGGTCGTGGACTCTTGGTAGGGAATGTTTACCCAACTCCACCTGGCAACTCTGGTCAGTGTCAGGCTCTATGCTTGAAATAGAGCCTGACACTGAAGCCAATCACAAAGTATATTTTATATGCGCAAAATTCCCATTGGTCAGAAATAAATGGCCTTGCCTACGTAATTCAAGTTGATTGTAATTGCCTGTGCAAGAAAGAAAGAATACTGGCATTAAAGTATGAAAAGAAATACAATCCTCGTGGGTGTTCCGATGATCTGAAGCGAAGTACGGCTTTGGGCCCCAAATCCAAGATACGATTTCATAATTATTTTTGACAAAATGTTTATTTATAGATCCCCCCCCCCTTAGCCGAGGGTAGCAGATTGTCCCCTTGGGTGCCCTTAGAAAAAAATCTATGTGACATGCAGCAACGGTGTTTGTATGGTTTCCGTGATTTATTTTGTGTGCTCTACAGACTACACTAGTTTTGCCATTAAGATTAAAATATTGTTCAGATCACAAAAAATCGGATATATTTTATATATCTTCACGTAAGTTATGAAGACAAATTAAACACTACTACACGGTAAATATTACAAAGTTGTAATTTACTTTTATGCCGGAAGAAATGTCATGTCTTCTTTTCTTCAGAAAATCACCCGTTACCCCTTATGGTCTACAAATGTCGTCTTTAATTTGATGAACACCGAGATATTTAATTAAACAATAACCAAAGTCTTTACTGTAATGTGTTAGCATGATTCCAGGCGTTTAATTAATTGCACATCACTGAAAAATCCCAAAAGGCGAATAAACTAGAACCCTTATTCCTCAGCTTAAAACAAGTTGCTTTATCATTTTGAAATGAAGTTCTTTTCCAATTTCCGTACAGTATGACGACTGAAGATTATTGTTACTAAGTTTCCATCACTCAAAACGAACCACAACTACAAGCTATACAAGTCCAGGCTTACTGTGCGAATAATAATAATACATGCAAGACAAACAAGCGGTGCTATAAGAATATACAATTACTTTATGGTTTCCGTGTTTGGATGGCCTGATCCAAACACGCGGGAATGCTGCGAGAGTTAAGAAAAGCGCGCGAAATCACGAGCAGTAGGCGAGTGATTTTGCGCGCTTTTCTTGACTCGAGCAACATTCCCAAGTGTTAGGATCAGGCCATCCAAACACGGAAACCATAAAGTAATTGTTTTATAAAATAACAACTTTCCGTGTTAAAATTTTACTTTAAAAAACTTTCACTTTAAATTTCCGTGTTTGGATGGCCTGATCCAAACACGGGTTTCGACCAATCAGAGCACGCGTTATATACATGTTATTATATAATTATAGTTACATGCAGCTACATGCTCAAAAATGGAACCTGTACTGCTATAGTTACCGATTTTTGAGTCACGGATGTTGCGAAGCAACAAAACAACTCCAAACTGGTTTATAATTCTTTCTGTCACTTTCATTTGATCACATCCGTGAGTCGGCCTCAACGACTTTGATTATAATTACAGTAGTTAAAAAGTTACTTTCATTGTTCCGATTATTTAAAGGTGTATTTTCCACTACAATGTGCGAGTATTGAATGTCTAAATATTTCCCAGTATAAATTCCTTCATGACTTGGGGAGCTGCAGAATCAAAGCCTGCCATGTCAAACATCCCAGGATCCTCTGGATCAGCAATGGTAAAGCCATTTGAAGTCATGCCCACGACAATCAGCTTGGCATCATAGATACCGGAGTGCTTGCGGTACTGTTTCAGAGCTTCATTTGGATGCACGCTACCAAACCATGTCTCACAGTCTGTGTACACAACAAATACATCGATCTTCATGTTATTTTTCTGTGCGTAAATCATTGGTTGAGCACAGTCTGTACTGCCCATGGTGATCTGGAAGATAACAAAAACATCTGTAACTCTACTATACACATCGATAGTACGATTACCTTGGGTTACAGAGGCTTCAGAGAGTTTCCTAGCTGTAGAGTGAAATGTGTTCATCTTCCCCTTCTCTAAAACCGTTTAGGGTTATCAATTAAAAATATATATACCCACCCCTGGCCGAAAATTTTACAAAAGGATACCATTCAGTTGTCACGCATGTCCTTTACCATTTCTACTTCTTTGTTTTATTTTATTTTACAATCTTTGTCAGATAAAATAACAGGTTATACCCACAGGGCTGAACACTCCTTTACGGGTAACCTTAACTTAATACATATATTTAAAGTTTGTTCGTTCACTGCAACCAGGTACATCAATCATGTCTCACTCGCTACTCTGGTTTAAATAAATGATTACAAAGTCCAGTCGAATTGTAATCAAGACCCAACGTTTCGACAGTCCAGTCTAGTATCTTCATCAGGGGTGATGAGGTCTGGGTTAAAATGAGGTCTAGGTCTAAATCTTGTTGGAAAAATGTTGACTTGTTGAAGGAAAAAGTCATAGATCAGTTCTTGAAATTCAATCGCATTTATAAGGAGGAGAAGTGCAATCTTGAATGTCATTCGAATTCCATGTGAAATCTGGAAAATTAAAATCACCAGTTATAAGTAATTTATCATAGTGTTCGCAAGATTGTAGGAAAGACGTGAAAGATTTTGATCACTCTTTGATAGCGATATCAAGCACTTAACAAGCATTTTGAATTTTTAGTTTCAAGTTCAACTGCAACGATTTCTATAGGATAGGGTGATAATTTCTGTGACATGAGTTCGATACTTCGATAACTGCTTGTGCAATTTTCTGCAGTCCAAAGTTTCATGTTGTGTGCACTTGTACTTTCTTTGGAGACACCATTTGCCTCCTGAAAAGTCGGAAAATTATCAAGATAGTGACTCTGATTGATTCACATATTGTATTGACACGTGACTGTTGACATTGCTTTTTAGTCTTCAATAGTTGAGTGCGTCATGCTTTGGAAATGACAATAATTTTTTATTACCCTACCCTTGACTTGTTTTGTTTTTCATTTATCCAACCTTTTACCCACTCAAAATTTTGCCCAATTCTTTTCTCTTTGGTGCCACCCCCGCTATAAATAATGACCGCCCCCTTAACAGCCTGAGGAAACCTTAACTAACCTAACTTGCATGTTCCATGCACAGTACAAAACAATGAACAACTTACCAAAGATCGTTTTGGATCAGAGCTATTAAAACGTGGAATACCTTATTAACAGACACATTAGACTTAAATGCGGAGAACTTCATACGCTCCTTCAACAATGTATTGAAAAGCTATACCGGCTATTTTACAGCATCCGAAGATCCACGAACTGTTAAATATATCTGTCCAAGATGCAATAGAGCGAGGACTTTAACCATACCGATAAACATAGTTCATAGTTTATTAGTTACTTTGTATTGTTTATTTGTGAAATTGTCTTTTGGGCTGCAGTAATTGGTCTCCTAGACTGCTATGGACACCCAACCATCATAGTTCTGTATAGTTGTTGTGTGTTTGTGTGTGTTTATATACAGTAGCGTACCTAGGGCCACTTGTTCAAAGCTAGATGAAATTAAATGAACTTGCGGTTAGAGCTCGACAACTGGACTCTATAACATTACTTACCTTTCTTGCGTACCTATTAAGAATGGTTTCTTGTACATATATAAGGCTCGTTTACACTTGCAATTTTTGCTGCGATTTTCGTCTTCTGATAGATGAGAACGAGTAGATGAGTTATGAATGTTCTGAGTACATGGTCCTTCATCTGAACATTTATAACTCATCCACTCGTTCACATCCATCAAAAGAAGAAAATCGCTCTAGAAATAGCAAGAAAAATTGCAAGTGTAAACGGGCCTATAAATGCGCGAAATTTCAAATAAAAATCTAAGAACTGCAAATACCTTGGATGTATTTATTTGAACCTTATCACTTACCGAAGACGCTGCTTTCAATACTTCTTCCAATCTCATGTGACTATTTATGTTCATTGGAACAATTGTGTGGCTGAAGGCGACGAATATATGATCATCTTCAGTCCGAGCTGTGACCATCGCCATTGCAGCGGAAGCAACATGAGGCTGAATACTGGGTGATCCGACACACCCACCACACTGCATGGATCCACTCACGTCCATGGCCAACATGTGTCGTTTACCTGTCGGTTCTACATTCTGAAATTGAGAACAGAAGTGAACAATTAGCAACTTTAATGTTTAAGGACAAGTATTGACCAAGTATTGACGAAGTTCGCAGCTACCAAACTGACATTCAAGGCATGACTTCTTACCGCTTAAACCAAACACAAATTTGAAGAAAAAATCTTTAAGCTACAGTACAGGGGAGCAGTGGTTTAGAATAGTTTGCCCATGGAGCTTACAGTCAGCAACTAGACAATCCTTCAACTTTGCTAATTATTTGTAATATAGTTTATTCAATAGACCTTACCGATTATTCTCTTTTACCCAATGGCCTCGTCGTTTCCATGTTAACTTACTTTAGGACGAATTTATTTCTTGCTGCTCTTAGGCTCAATAACAAAGTAATTTTCAACCCTACTATAATGAGCACAAAACATGAGTAAGTATTTGACACGAAAACGAGGCCATTGGGTGAAAAGTATTATCGAGGCAAGAATTTACACCGACTTTGGTGTTGTGGTAACACTCCCAGATTTACAGTGCACAACCCAACCAACCTTGAATGACAAATAAAACGCGTCCTCCAGTGCTTTGGTAATGATCGGAATTGCCTTCCAAGTGAGAGATCCCTTGTCCCCACGGCCAGATTCGTACTGTTTCAACGCTAGCAACACATTGAATGGGTGGATACGAGCCTTCTTCAGCAAGTCTTCGTTGCGCAAATTCTCACACACTAACTGCACCTGTTCATTGTTTTCTTCAAGCAAGCCAATCGCTGTCATCTTGTTAAGATTACGAATCATTGCTGTCATTGGCATTTTCTTAAGAAGTGCATCCCATACCTTAAAAACAAATTCTATTAAAAACTTCAACATTTGAAGGAATGCCTTTTGGTGGGTGTAGTTATGGCTAACGATTAGGGCACGTTTTTTTCCGGACTCAAAAATTTTTGCAGGACAAAGAAAAATAGGGTCAAAATATTTTTTTTCGGACTAACATCAGTTCAATTAAGGTTTAAAACACATTTTCCCCGAAAAACTTCTTAAAACACAATTAAAACGCTTATTTTCGAAAGTTCGGGGACATCCTTACACTGTACCTCTGATAGGCCCTGTAATTTTCCCTATTGAAAAGTCTCTGCACGAATTTTTTTTTCAGACATTTCTGGTGCACGAATTTTTTTTCTTTCTATTTTCCCTGCTCGAATTTT